GAAATACATTTTGTCTCTAATATTATATTTCTGTTACTGCCGTGTCGATTCCAGAGTGTGATTTATGTACATTGACGGAACTTATGTAAATTTATGATTAATGAGATGTTATCTTAGGACATGAAAAGTTGCTTTCCTTATATGTAATTGTAAAAAACCCACAAACGTCCATAAAATTGCAAAATACAAAACGTGTAACCTCAAATTTGCATGTAACTCCGCATGAACCCAACAAACCTTCATGCCAACTTTGGTGAAACTCCATCAGCAAGGGGCGAAGTAGTGGTAAAAAACGCAAAAACACCCATAAAAAACCGCAAAAAGCAAAATGAAAAACTTAAAAGTTGTATGTATCTCCCCATAGACCTAATGACGAAGCTCCATGCCAAATCTGGTGAAGATACATCCACACCCTGCGAAATAATTACATGGACATACAACAGACAGTATTATTATACTTATATAGATTCCACACTTAATTTTAGTGTCTCGTCACATGCATGTTAGCTTAGCATACAAAGACTCAACATCAAAACTAGCGCAATAAATTCTACTATCAAACTTTGAATTTTGAATTTTTTTACAATTATCCCAACTATCCTTTCTTTCTTTCTTATTAGAAAACTCAACATATAAATTGTTACACTTGTTATAAGAACAATGTTCGTCTAATTATGCTAAGTTGAGTTGATTTCTTTAGTAAAGAGGATTAACCAGAAAAAAATACTTGCTAGTAGCTGTGTTTACTGCTAATATGTGGATCAAGAGCATTTTAATTACTAACTTCGGAAATATATTTTATACAAATACACAATGTAGTTGAACTTTCTCGTATATACTGTAATTGACTGCTCGTTTTTCCAAGGAGAAAATAAAGTCAAATAAAGAAGCGAGTGGTAACAACTGAATTATTATTTTTGAAGATTTAAAATGACAAAAAAGTTAACTTCATAAAACAATATATTTCTACCAACACTGTGCTATCAATGCCACACCTAGACTCTAACAACTTCACAAAAGTGTAAGATCACTACAACGGAAATAAGACGTCTGAGACGCCGAGATAGAATTAGAAACGAAGATCCGAGAAAGGTTGGGAGTAAGACCAGTCATAGATCATGTTAAAAAGCAACAAATAAAATGGTTTGGCCATCTTACTAGGACGTCTTGGAATGCAAAAACACAATGGGTACAAGGCAAGGGGAAGACCAACAAGAAGGTGGAGTCAAGACAACATAGATAACATTAAACACCACGGAATCAGCCTTAGATACACAACGGATACAGGGCAAGAGAAAGACCAAGACGAAGGTGGAGTCAAGACAACATTAAACACCATGGAATCAGCCGTAGAGAAGCTCTGGATAGAGTACATTAAAAGTCCCTACATTGTCCCTCTACATCTGCCGGTAGACAGAGGAAGTAATTACAATGAATTAACTTATCACAACCACACCCAAGTTTTCAGCACAATTGAACACCAGCAAGCTACTGTATGGTGACTCTAAGTCACATACTCGGTCTTTTTTTTTTATAATATTGTGATGCAGAGTAATACTGTACTATTTAATGTTGTGTGTTTGTGAATTTATTTGTTTATCTGTAAACGCTTCCCACAGTTTTGGAGCTAGTAAGACGAAAGTTGGCAGTCGGGCTTAGTTGGTATCCTTATCTATATGTCATTGCTCTCTGTTTAGGGGCACCAAAGGGGAGCCGTGTTTGAAACTGGGTTTATATCGCCGCTTACAACCTAGCGATATCAAACGTAGCACTCATGTTCAGGTACTACTGGTGGGTGCCATAACAGTGTTTCTTTTCGGTTACAGACACCTACTTCTCCTTCGAGTAGGGATAAAAATAATCGGGGATAATGGGGGTATTTTATTGGTACACTAGGGCATCTATAAATATCGTCGGATTACTTTTATAAGAAAGCATGAAGTATGAAAGCTTGTGTTGAATAAAGTGTAATACCTAATTCAAGAAGTAGTGAAGTTCGTCAGTAGTTGATGTCTGCTCATTTATTTTTGTAATATTTCCATCTATATAGTTGACAAGTTGCATCCTAAACTTCATTTCTTTGGTTGTTTTTAACTCATCTTAGTGTTAATAATAGGCAATGCATCTAACAAGGTTTGGAATTTAACTGATATTCACATTTTGCATTAGGAAACTACTGATCAACAGACAATCAACTACATCATCGAAGGTCCAGATATTGAGTCCTGCAATTGCACGAAAAGAGTACGAATAGGAAGATGGATTGCTCAAAACCAAAAACTTCAACCTGCAAAACCAAATGATTTCTTTCGTTTGTCTGGAGATCTACATATAATTAATCGAACATTACGTGTAGCCACAATGGATGTAAGTTGACCCAAAGAGAAAAAAAAAGAACTGTAGGTAGTAACTAGATACGACAACTTTCATAAAACTTAAACTTTTCCTGTCACTGTGGACAGGTACTTTTGATTGTACTCACTAAGTGTATTTAGTATCATTTTGGTTGTGGGTACCAATGATTGTTCGTGTTAATTTGGTTGGGTGTACTAAGTGTGGTTAGTGTTAGTTTGGTTACATGTACCAAGTGGAATTAGTGTTAGTTTCTTTCTGTATACTAAGTAAGGTTAGTGTTATTTTGGTTGTATGTATCAAGCGTTAACAGTATTAGTTTGGTTATATTCACCAATAGTGTGTGCACTGTCAAGTGTGGTGAATGTTAGTTTGGTAGTGTGTGTAGTTAGTGTTAGTTTTGGTATATGTACCAAGTGTGATCGATGTTAATTTGGTATTGTGTTCAAAGTATTGATAGTGTTAGTTCGGTTATGTGAAACAAATGTGAGCAATGGTAGTTTGACCATAGTTACCAAGATTGGTTAATATTAATGTGCTATATTCGCAAAGTGTAGTCACCGATAGTTTTGTTTATATTTACCAATAATGTCCAATGTTAGTTTGTTTGTGTGTGCCAAATATATTTAGCACTAGTTTTGTCATATTAGCAAGTGTGGTCTGTGTTAGATTGGTTGTACGTACCAAGAGTTTTTAATGTTACTTTGGTTATATGTACCAAGTGTGATTAATGTTAGTTTGGTTTTGTGTCCCACTTGTGGTTAGTGTTAGTGTGGTTATGTGTACCAAATGTAGTTAGTATTAAGTTTTGTTTGGGGGTGTATGCCAAGTGAAGTTAGATTTAGTTTGGTTGTGTGTATACCAAGTGTAAGCAGTATTAATTTGGATCTATGTACAAAGTGTATTCAATGTTAGTTTGGTTTAGTGTACAACTTGTGTTAATTGTTTGTTTGATTGTGCGTACCAAGTGTGTGTTGTGTTAGATTTGTTACATGTATCAACTTTGGTCTGTGTTAGTTTGCTTGTGTGTACCAAGTTTGGTTAGTATTTATTTAGATATATGTACGAAGTGTGGTTAATGTTAGTTTCGTATTGTGTACTAAGTATTATTATATTAGTTTGTTTATATGTACAACGTGTTTTAATTTAGTCTTCTTATATATATTGTGAACCGTGCTTTCAGTCCGAACATTCGCCTGTCTCCCGTTTAAAAGCTGCGTACTTTTGAAATGACGGGAGAACAGACATGGATAATGTTGATGCCAAATGTTATTTTGCAAGCAGGATATTATACATTAAATTGTTAGGAATTAATTACACTATCATTCACATTTCATATTGTGACGTAACTTAAAGAATAAAATTGTAGGTTTACAATTAGCATGACTGAAATGCTCAACCATTACTTTCTACGGTGGATGGTATAAGTAGCTCAGACGTTTAGCTCTGAGTGAAACCAAAGGTGCAGCACAATTAACGTTGTAATTTTTTAATGAAATAACTTAAATTGATAGATTGATTTAAACTTTTCCCGTCATTGGGAACGGGTAATTTTGCTTGTTCTTACTAAGTGTATTAAGTATTATTTTGATTGTGGGTACCAAGAGTTTTTAGTGTTAATTTAGTTGTGTGTACCAAATGTAATCAGTATTGTTTTGGTTATGTGCTAGTCAATGTTAGTTTCGTTGTATATTCCAAGTGTGGTTACTGTTGATTTGGTTATATATATACGATGTGTATTCAATTTTAGTTTGTTTGTGTGTATCAAGTGTGGTTAATATTAGTTTGTTTATATGTAACAATTGTTGTTAATGTTAGTTTGGTTATATTTACTAAATGTGGTTATTAGTAGTTTGGTTATATTTGGTTTTATGTACCAAGTGTAATCGGTATTAGTTTGAACACATTTACTAGGCTTAGTTAGTCTTAGTTAGGTTGTGTGTACCAAGTTTGGTTCTTGTTAGTTTGGTTATATATGTACCAAATGCGGTCAGTGTACGTTTGATTGTCTGTACCAAGTTTGGTTCTTGTTAGTTTGGGTATGTGTGCCATGTGTATTTAACTTTAGTTTGGTTGTATGTATCAGGTGTTGTCAATTTTTATTAAGTTGTATCTACCAAGTGTAGTTAGTATTAGTTTGGTTGTGTTAACAAGTTTTGTTAGTGTTAGTTTGGTTTTGTGAACAAGTGTTTTAATTTGATTGTGTGTACTACATGTAATCAGTATTAGTTTGGTCATATGTATCAAGTATAGTCTATATTAGTTTGTTTGTACGTTACAAGTTTGGTGAGTGTTTGTTTGGGTGTGTGTGCTAAGTGTACTTAGTGTTAGTTTGGTTCTGTATACCAAGTGTGATTAGTGTTATTTTGGTTCTGTGTACCAAGTGTGATTAGTGTTAGTTTGGCTATATGAACCAAGTGCGGTTATTGGTAATTTGGTTGTATCAGTAAGAACAGATATGTTTAAGAAGCAAGCATTTCTGATAAGACAAACTAATAATACAGTTTCCTGCTATATATTTGTTTGATAATTTATTTTCTGTGTTGAAATGAAAAGTACTGCTTCCACCACGTGAAGTCGTGTACACACTTCTCCGATTCCTTAGAAAGTGACTGTTATTATGGGTTCCAATGATACTTAAATAGGAATTTAAATAAGTCTTGAGTGTATTGTCAGTATGAAGTACGTAAGTCACTTGAAAATGTCAGGTTATGAACTTGGTGAAATGGACTTATATACTGCTTACTTCCATTATATCTAAGACTGTGTGAAGCTAAGCCAGCCAGCTGATACTGCTAAAAAAATCCGTAGACTCTTGAAAACAAGTTGTTAAAATTCAGTTATGCTGTAAACCTATATTGGGCAAACGAAGTGTTGAAAACAAAAAGCTCTTGATTTACTGTTTCACGACCTATGTCATCGAATAAAGCTTCAGTGTTGTACATTGTATTAATAGTGTGATTTTTAAGAATATTAAAACTGTCTTAAAAGTTGCACATATAACAAACAATTACTTTAAGACTTCCTAACATCTGGATCTAGAACGTGCTGCTATCTATGGGCTGTAAAACTCAATACAGTTTCTGTGCATCACGAAGTAAACAATCACTAGTACAATTCAACCGAACTTTACAGTTAAAACAAATTTTCGTGCTGTCACTACAATATATATCAAGAGATACCGTATCCCACCTTAAATCACATTCACCATAGACGGTCGCCAACATCAGAAGGCAGTCGAGAGTCGATCCATCAGCTCCATTTAGCATCACAGTGAAAAAAAAAGGAATGTTTCACTTAGAATCATTATAACCTGATTCATATTTTGTACTGAGAAAGAATACAGCACCCTCATTAAGGGTTATATGCAACCTTAAGTGTACTGGGAGGATCCTGAGTATTTTTCTAGACAACAAAAATATCGTTCATCTTAGAAAATGTATCTATAGCTCCAAAAGCAAGGTTTGTTACGCTCTTTCACTCGAGTTTTCAGTCTTCTAGCGATCGTCATCAGTTGTGAAAACTGTTAATGTTACAGGCACTACACCAGTAATGATAATTGTGTGTAATAATCAAGCAGCTATCACTGAATATCCTGTGGATATATATCAGTAAACATTTCTCATTAGCACAATATTCAAGTGGCTATCACATAATGTATTAGATAAATTTTACTGACAGCTTGTAGAGAAAACCACTTTCTTTCGATCATTGGTCTTATAATTAAGTGATTGTCCTCACTTCTGGTACAATAGATAATTGCAGCTATAACAATCGTTGTGATTATCTCATCTGATAATAAGAGCTAGCTTGCGCCTTTTGTCTACGTGTTTCCTCATTTGACTCACCCTGCTCGGCTAGACAAGTACTTTCAGCAACTTCCTCCTCATCAGTTGAGTCTAGATGATACAAAATAGCTCTCTCTCTCATTATCCTCCGACTCGTCAGTCTCTATTGTCGGAGGACAAAATAAAATTATGTTTACCCAGAAATAATCTGCTTCTGTGTTTCTGGTATGTACCAAAGCCGTTCCCAGTATCCACCCTGGACATTCATTCCTTAAATGCTTTAATGTAGCATCTCTTTCTGCTGTATGGTGGCGTTTTATGATTTCTGATATGTAAACTTAAGCACTTTGACAAGTGCAGGCCTTAACCATTCCACATATTCTTGCAACTGCTATGGTACATCTGATTTATGAGTCCGACCATACATCACGTCTACCTAAACAATAAGTTGATTTCTATTCCATTGCATTATACACCAAGTGTTCATATCAGTCAGTTCTGTCAGGGTTATCCAACTTTGCAAGCATCTGTTTAATAGTTTGTGTCACTCTTCTGCTTTGCCATTAAATTTGGGGTGATAATTCAAAGTGTGCATCTTCACCATATCTAACAATTTACAAAACTCATTGAAGACTTGACTATTGAAGCTAGGTCCCTGATCCATGTGAATGTTTTCATGTATATTAACTTAGGCTATTCAGTGTTCTACCTATATATTAGCAACAGACTGTGATCAGGAATTGGCCAATGGATAAGCCTCAGCTCACTTAGTGAAGTAGTTGGTAATCACCAGCTCATACCTATTACTTCATTTAATTTCTGGGAGAAAACTAGCAATATCCAGGACTATTCGCTGTAAGGGAGAACCAGACATTTTCTGTTGGAGTTTAACACTGTTTAATCTGGCTTTTCTTCTGGACAGTGCACACTTTGCAATGATTACACAGCCACTTAATGCCTCGACATGGATGCAGACAGTGAAACCATCATCGCACTTTAACACAAGAGTATATAACACCCTGGTATATTATAGATTTCACATTAGGAAACATCTAATGTATTTCCTGCCTAAGAGGTCTGTGAACCACCATATATACTACAAGTTGAGAACCATTTCCCAGTGAATGATAGCAATGGTACAACACACCTTCTACACTCGTAGCTGTTTGTCACAGGTTACATCTACATTCACACTATATTCGTCATTCTGTGCTGATCGTCCATTCTTAGTATACAAATTCCAAAACCGATGTCAGGAATGAATATTTTTTTTCTGTTGTTGAAATCATCTAGACATAATGAGAGATGTACTTCTCCAGTTTAGCTTATCACTCTTGGAGATCAACCAATCTCTTGGTAGCTCCTGTATTAACGAGCAACTCCATTTCTTACCCTTGTACTTTTATGGGCATATATCAAGCACCACCCAGTCCACCGAGAGACTAAAGTGGCAACAGGTACAGCTTACTGTCGATCTTCCTCCTCTAACTCTGTATTTGAATAAAGCTTATAGCCTTAACCTGCCTTGCTGCCCGACAAGATATGCTTGGTTTACTTTAAAATGGCCCACTTGCCCATAACAAAAGTAGATACTTTGGTCCTAGTTTCAAGCATGATGTTTAGGCAGAGAAATCATCAGCACTGGCTGCAGTACAAACATCATGAGAAGACCAGAGAAATCCTACTCATTCACTAGAAGTTAGTGGGGTTTTGTCACAATGCCGGGATATGTTGGCTGCTGGTTTGTTCTCAGTGAAGTTCAAGCTCGATATTATGCAGTCACTCCAGGAGGGCACTATAACCAAGGTACAAACACTGTAGCTGTTGCTCTGAGCTTCTTCCTCTTGTGTGACTTATTCATAACATAAATTGCCTCTATCAGGGGGAGAATATCTTTCACATCCAGGTGATGCCCTGCCTCACTTGTTTAATATGATATCCTCATGATATGTATAAGCCATTGTAAGGTATGCTTTCCCATACCAATGGCGTAGATTGTCTATGTAAGTGTAATAATCTCGACGAGACGTTTCTTTCGAGATTTTAACTCCAACTCATGCATAGCCCTGTTCTCCACTGGGTTGATATGACAGTACAGCTTGGCCACAACTGTATCCCAGTCCCAGAGTTGCTCTTCACTCAAGAATTTAATAGAATCAAAAGCTAGATACCCAAACTCAAGATCAAGTATTGTATCACTTGGTCATGAATTTAGGCATTCCAAGCAGTGACGTGCTTACATTGCTTTAGGAATTTATCCAGAACCTCTTAGCCTTGCCCTTAAATGATGTGGGAAGAAATGTTTAGCCTTTCTCATCGAGAACTTTTGTAGCAGCGTAAAACATTTTTTTTATAGATTGTCAGCCAACACCAAGATGAAATTCTTTAAATGTACAATGTAACGTATAGGGAGCATAATCATCATCCTACAATCAGACAATATTAGGTCTCTGCCCCTGGGTGTAAAAAAGAACAACAAAAATTACTATTGGAAGCTCATCCATTGGCTCTTCATAATTCTAGGTTCTCTCCATGACTCATGGTCGCTCTGGCAGTATATCTCCTATCACGAATGGCGTCATGATTGTCCCATGGATTATTATCTCCACCAATCATACCTACTGTCTCACCTGCCAGTGAAAGAGTATAGGTTGGCAATTGTCGAACCTTGGAGAAGATCTTTCCAGACTGTCAGACATTCACTGATGTTGTGAGAATCTGACTTCGTTCTCGTTACGGCTGTAGATACAGGAAAATAGAACTGCTGATCGAATTCTTCCTTAGTAGATTGATCTTAATGCATAAGGATGAGTGAGAGTCGTTGTGGTGGTGTGAGTCTGACGAGTCTGAAACTGAATGGGGTGGTCATAGAGTTTCACAACTTCAGCAAGTCCTGGAAAGGTCTTCTCCAACGTTTGATAACTCTCTCTCTCTCTGACACCTATTTATCCCTCAGTGACTATATCTTCCTCTTAGTCTTAAACTCTATTACTTATCAAAAATGCCATTTTCTCAAATACAAGACTTAGATTTATAACACAAGAGTGTAGAAGAGCACAGGGAATTTCGATCTTCAGAGCAAGGGAATAATCCGCAACACACCAAGTGAAGAACTATTGAGGCCACTTGCACAACAAAACTATTTTTGCCAATTCAGCAACCAAGCTAATGATTAATTTCATATGAAAATGTTTGCACATGTGTAGCTAAAAACCTCATTTCATTTTTACCACAATTTTACACCCATAAACAATCTCCCTCAAGTATAGATCAGATTGCACCTATAACATGCATTTGTAAACTCTTGTAAACAAAATGTAATAAGCTCTAATTTGCAGTATTAACGACTTAGATAAGCTTATATAGTACAAGGTTCCTCTACAAGCTTATACTTGCCTGTTTGAACAGCTATAATACTTCAGTTGTCATAAGGACCATACTCAAAACTAGAGGTGGTACAGGAGTCTATGCTGGTTAGCACGAGCAGGGGAATTACATTTGGTGCAGGTAAATTGAGATTGTAGGATGATAACTTAGGTGATAATTTACTTGACTGAAAACACAATCCTGCTAGTTTTTGTCCAATTAAAACTTGCTCTTGTTGCCAGAATGTCTAGTTGCAGTATTAATATGCGAGCGTGCACCCAGTAAAGACTGTGTTATTGTTGTGTGTTTTTACAACTATCTTAAGTCCTTTTTGTTCTACCATTCTGTGAAACGATTCCTTTTATTGTGTGTAACAGAAAAAATATAAAAAAGCTTCTATAACCACTATGCCTTCGCTCATTATTTAGGTAGCCTTGCTGCTAGCGGTGTTTTTGGCCCTTAATCAAAGAACATTTGACAAAATTGGGCCTGGTTACAAAATTACCAGGCAGCGAAGCAGAATTGTTCTATGTAAAGATTCGTGGATTGATGCATACCTCAAATGCAACTTTTTTTTATCATAGACTAGCGAAAGTACCCGGCTTCGCTCGGATTATTAGGTTGATAGTTTGTGTGTATTCTGAACCCTTTTTAGCATTAAAGTATAACCTATATACTTATGTTTCTAAGCAACATGACATAAAAGCCATTGTTGGAATGCAATGTTACCTAAACGTATTGGCTTTTCTGTATATTAGAATTTGTTATATAAGGAACCACTTTTTTTCTATATTCTCTTTCACTAGCTTGCCTCATTAAAAAGATGCGCACGTGCATATGCGCATGCACATGGATAAAATAAGTAATACACTGGTATACACCCTCAGGGTCCATTTAGTATGCAAAATTTCCAGTTTCTAGGTTCTTACCTCTTGGAGTTATGGCAGTCACACACACACGCATGCGCGCACACACGAACGTGCGTATCTGTCTGTGATTTATATTCGCTCGGGTTATTAGGTTGATATATCATAGATGACTGTCATTGAGTGTATTCTTCAAACCTCTTTAATCAAATGAGTCTCTAAATTAAGAAATCAACAAATATTTTTTAAATTTTATAGTTTATACATTTCACTTTATACTTTCAGTCATAGACTAACAATAATATTAGTTCCTAAGCAACGTGACATAAAAGCCATTGTTGGAATACATTGTAACCAAAACGCACTGGCTTTTCTATATATCAGAAGTTGTTATATAAGGAACCACTTCTTTTCCATGTGGTTTGCTTGCCTCATTCAAAAGATGTGCGCACGCAAAAGATAAGTAATAATACCCAGGTGCATACAGTCAGGGTCCATTTAGTATTGGTGCAAAATTTCAGGTTTCTAGATTCCTTCTTCTTGGAGATAGTCACACTTCTTTTCTATGTGTTTTTTCGCTAGTTTGCCTCACAAAAAGTTGCGCACGCACGTGCATAGTTAATAATACCCAGGTTCACACCCTTAGAGTCCACCTAGTATGGGTGCGAAATTTCAGGTTTCTAGGTTCTTTCCTTTTGGAGGTATGGTGGTCGCATATGCTTTTCTATGTGGTTTTTTGCAAGCTTGCTTCATAAAATAATATGCACGCGCATGCGCGCACTCACGTGGATAAATAATAATATCCAGGTGCACACCCTAATGGTCCACTTAGTATGTGTGCAAAATTTCAGGTTTCTGGGTACATTCCTCTTGGAACTATGCCAGTTACAGACACAGAGACACACAGACATACCATTTTATTATCCTTATAGATAACGCAATATGAACCATTTGTGTTTACTTTTTCAGAACTTCCCATTCTTCGTCCAGGAGATTATTTCAGACAGAAAAGTGATCGGGAAGGATGGTATCGATCTTAAGATTATAGAAATTTTGGCTGAAAAATTTAATTTCAAGTAAGTTGTAGTTTTAGTAACATACATGGTTAATTATTTTACACAAAAATTTTAGGAATTTTCTTTTTCTTTGTTTCTTCAGCAGTTTAATTTATGCTACAATTTTATGATTAAAAATAATTAGGATATTGTTAAAGGAATGGATTTCAGTCTGAAGAAGTGTAACTTCCACAGATCTGGAAATGTTTTACAATATAATAATAATTAAGTTTTAAAATTGTAATGTTTTGTTTCGTGACGTGAAATTTGTAAAGTTAAAGATGCGTTAAGTGAACCATGAGTCCCTAATTCGAGAAATCGAATGTTTATACCACAGTGATTGCTGAACTCCAGATATCTCTGTGGTCTGTCACTTATTATTTACAACATTGTTGCTTGGTAAATGACCCAGCTGTTTAGTTTACAGATTTTTTTACTGACTGGAATTTCGTTGCTTAGGTTCCAGATTTTGACACCCAGTGATCGTGTATGGGGAGTAAAACTGCCTGATGGAGAGTGGAGCGGCTTGTTCAGAATGATTTTAAAACAAGTTAGTAATGTTCTGGTTTTAGTTACTGAAAAATATACAGAGGGTTGAGTGTGTTATATTAAATCTATTTTGAATATGCAAATCAACATGTCACGTGACAAATGCAGCTGATACGATGTCGCGATGTAACGGAAACCATCAGAAATACATTTGATATTATTTATCATTAAGTAAGTAGTGTAATGCAACAGGGAAATTATTTCATTAGAGAGGAATATGTAACAGTCGTTTCCGACGCAAAATATTCATGTACTCAAATCATAACAATGTGTTTAAATCGTATATTTCGAATTTAAAAGATATATCTCTTGTTCTTAATGATACTGAGAAAAAGGAATATTGATCAACTTGGGATACCAGGATAATCAAGAAAAAGACCAACAACAAGTCATGACCCAGTTGTGGAAGCAAAGTGCAGTGTCTTATAGTTATTGATGAGGATCTACCAACACAAAGTACAGTGGCAAAATCCGTCCACATACCCCAAACAACATAATAAAAAAGGATCCTCATGTGAAAAAGCGACACATCTCAAGTACACGCAAGCTGATTCCTCAACATATCCGTTCCACTGTCGTATACCTCAAGCAGCTAGAGAATTAAACAATTATTCATGCTATTCCATACGAATACATATTGGTCAAGTTGACGATAGGTTTATGTGCAATCAAATTGTTGATAACAGGGTGCTGCGAAACACTAGTCCTAATACATTAACTGGGTTATAATCCTGCAGATAGGAGCAGTATGTTTTGCACATGACAACCTTATAACGGATTATTTTGCAGGACTATCGTCAAGATGATAAACTCAGTTAGAGATTGACTGGATGTGGCGACATGAACTGTAATGACTCATATAGAGCATAACTGGATGTGGCGACATGGATTGTAATGACTCAGGTAGTGCATGACCAGATGTGTCGACATTGATTGTAACAGATCAGATAAAGTACAACCAGATGTGGCAGCATAGAATGTAATAACACTGTTTTGTTCCAACAGTGGTTTAATATAGCGTAATCAAGTTGTTTTCTTCATTAGCTGTTCGTATTTTAGATAGATTACAAATTTGTTCAAGCTCGCTCTGTAGATTTTGAATTACAGATTTTAAAGTTTTTTACTCGTGTTTTCCCACTAGGAGGCAGACTTCGCTATCACAAACATTGGAATGATAAACGAACGTCAAGAAGCGATAGATTACACATATCCTTACATGACTGACAGCTTAAACTTTTTAGTTCGAGGACCACGTGAAAAATCCCGAGCATTGGCTGTCATCAGACCTTTCACCTTAGAGGTAAGAAACACTGATGTTAAACAAATTTGGTTGTTCTGAATAGAAAATCAGTAGCATATATTTTTCTAAAAAATCCTTCGTTTTATAGGCACATTCTGTACTAGTGTAGTGCCCTGTAGAAAGATGCATTTGTAGGTATTGAGCTGCGTTAACGAACGTTGAAGATAAATATTATTGTTTCTTGAGAGAACTGCAATTTCAGGGCCTTTTCAGGAGTGTGTTGCCTTTGGTTAGACTCAACAAGCATCTTCAGAACATCAATATCAATTCCAACATGTCGGCCCCTGCCATCACAGTTTTCAACGATAAAGTCATCTGAACGAAATTTGATGAACCATCGTTGACACTTACGAACGTTCAAGACATTTCCATAAACTTCATTGAGATACTCTTTTTGTATTCAAACAGCATTACATGCCGAATGTGTGTCTCGTCGTGTGCCATCACTATAGGGAATTAGAGTACACTAAACTTTACACATTATATAGGCTACATTAACGTGACGTTTAGGCGGTTCGTTTAAGTATTATACGCAATGCACGTTTTTTTTTTGGGGGGGGGGATGAAAGTGTGCCAAAAAGCGAGATTTATGTCTTGAGGACCCAATATATATATATATATATATAT